TTTAAACATGATGATGATATGATGTAATAATCCTTTATAATATTATAATCTCCAAATAAAAAAGTGAGTAATACTTATGTCAGAAAAAAAATATTCATAATTATAATTTTTTAATTAAGATTATTATTTGATCATATTTTCTTTTTAATGTTATTGATAAAATTTACACCCCTGTCTTCATAAATTGTTATCTCTCTCTCTCCATCCCATGATTGCCTGGAAGAAATCACTTTAAGCGATAAGGCCGCCAATTGTTACATTATTTTGTTAAACTGTTTTAAATTTGTATACCTATATAACTTGTGTAATGTTAACAATAAAGAATTTTCTATTCTATTCTCTATAATGGTATTATTAATATAGTTTTGGTGAACTTCCTAAACATAAATGAGCATATGCTCACTAGTAATGCAAGTAATTCTTAAATTCACAAAACCTGCTGGTTATCTGGTAGTTAAATTGGTTTTAGCAGACGCCCAGACTGTGAGTGTTTATGGGTTTAAATCCCACCTCAAGCACTAATTGCTTGAAGTGGGTTTTTTAATTATTTTCCTTTAAGATAAATATCGATATAGTATTGCAAATGCAAAAGTGATCAGAAAAAATAATGATAAATTAATTAATTTGTAAACAAGGACTTTTTCAGTGCCATTTTTATTGGAATTCCACACATGCTTGTAAATACACACTTTTAAGTTTTCCTGTAAAAATACTACAATAGTTTACTTTTTTCAATACAAAATATTCAAAAATTCATGTTTTTATAATCATAGATAAGTTTACTTAAAGCCAAAAGCCCCTACAATCTAATAATGATTTTTACGATGTTCCTATTTACAATGATTGTTTATAATTATGTAAAGTTTTAACAGAAATATAATTTTTCAATTTTAATTTACATTACATGCCTCAACTAGGTGGACCTTATTTATGTTAAGAATCTACATAATATGAATTCAACATTTCAAATTCATAGAGGAATGAAAACCTATTAATTTATCTATAAAATGTAAGTTTTTAATAAAAAATAATAATTTAAGATTAATAATCAAGATATAATTTATTTTATTTTTAAAGTCTGCCAACATTTTTACATATCAATAAGCAACCACAAAATTACAGAACTATCTATAACAAATAGATGAAATGGTGTACATAAAAAGTTTATTAAACATATGCATGCACTATCACACTTGTTTATCTAGCTCCATAGTTTTCGATTTCATTTTTTTTCTAATCATTTTACATAATTTATATCACATGGATTGCTATGTTCTCATGAGGTAGATGAGGAATCTGGTGTTTGATACCCAGATTTTGTATATTTACTTCAGACGTCAGGGTGCTCATTGAAAGTATCGTTGTATCTTTGTGAAATAAATAATATTGGATAGAAAATTTTATATGCTTGAAGTGCTAGACAGTTAAAGATTAAAATTTTTTGGTACCTTAATATAAGGTATTTTTATAAATAATTAATGATAAAGCAAACATATCAATGGATTTACACAACTTATTATGTTCTTTACAGTCTATTGATAACTCACTCACAAACTCTTAAAATGTAGGAATTAAAAGTCACAGTGGATTGGAGTATTTAATATATTTCACGTTGTAAATACATAAAAGTCAGATGAGAGTAAAGAAGAGAGTGACATAAAAACAATAAACAGTGTATAAAATACTAATTCAAAAAGGTATACGAAAAGATGCCAGTGTCTGATTAATATAGAAAAAGGTTTTATCTACACCTCCCCGTAATCAGGACACTTATGTACACCCTTTATATAAACACACTGTATGTACAAAAACACTATAATATCAAAAGTACCTTAACATGATGCCCTAACCTAATTAACCTAATAACACAAAACAAATAACACTAAACTAATCCTAAATTAGTTAGGCACATATAGTGTCTCAGCTTAGGCAGTGGCTTTGTGAGAATGTCTGCTGTTTGGTGAGCTGATGGTATGAATGACACATTGACTTGTTTAGTGGATATAGACTCACAAACAAAATGATGTCTAATATCAATATGTTTTGTGCGGGCGTGATGCGTGTTGTTTTTTGTTAATTTGATGGCACTTTGATTGTCACAATTAATGGTGATGGGTGACGAAAAGCAAAAGATGTCGCTTAGTAATGAGCGAATGTAGATGGCTTCCTTACAGGCTTCACTTAGAGCCATGTACTCAGCTTCTGTTGTTGATGTTGCAACGGTTCTCTGTTTACGTGATTCCCATGACACTGCTGAACCACACATTTGGAAAACATATCCTGTATAGGATCGTCTGTCCACCAGATTACCACCATGATCGGCATCAGCAAATCCGATTAGATCACCACTATTGTTATAGGTCAGTTTCCTATTTTTTATAGCCTTCAGGTACCGATGAACGTTTCGCAGCTCTCCAATGTACCGAGATAAAACTTCTTCAATACAAACACTACAAATACCTATGTTTGCCGAAGTTACTTTTGTAGGGCAAAATGTTTTTAATTATCAATTCTGAAGATGGATCAAGGTATTTTATTTCACTCAGCAATTGGGGGTACCTAATTGCACCTCTTAAAATTTTAAATAATATAAATTGTTTCACATCTATCATTAAACGCTAACTATCGATCGTCAAAAAGTAGAAATTTGCAACTTTTTAGAAATCGTTAATTTTGACAGATGAAACGTTCGGATTTAGTAACGTTTCAGTAGCGTTTCGATCCAACGAAGTGTCAAAATTTTAGTGGAATAAGGGCCGACGATCGACTCAAGTATATGGACGTAGTTATGCAAACCAGCCACATGATGTCAGTTTTGAGAAAAATGGGTTTCTTGTTTTTAGTAATAATTGTTTGTAGAATATATTTTATTTTATTTATTTATCAAGAAATTTTGTGAATTTACAACATTTGAGTTTAATTGCAACACTTTTAGGCTTCTCTGCACATAATTCGATTTTGACAGATTTGTGGGTTGGTTCCGGTTTGCATAACTACATCTGTATAGTTCTATGTTCGATTGAGCGAGTAGAATACCGTTTACAGTTTCTGTTGATCGATAGTTAGCTAAACTAAAATAGAACCGGAACTGTATCGTTTGACGCCATTTTGACACCGAGTAGAATAGGAAAACCACTAAAAGTTGTAGTTTCGTTCGGTTTCGTTCCGTTTTCGATTCGATTTAAACAAAATTTATTTAGTAGAATTGGCCCCCTGCTAGGTCCTGGGTAGCTCAGTGGTTAGAGCAGTTGCCCGGATTACGAAAGGTCGTGGGTTCGATCCCCATCTCAGGGTGTCAGGGACCAAATTATTTACAGTATATCAGGGTTCATAGTGCAAAGGGCCTCGCTCGCGCTTGTAATAGTACAAGAGCCCATAGCATAAGTAATTTCAATATGTGCTATTAACTACTAATCGCTCAGTCTCCAGTGCAGGGGTTAGAGATGCGACTGTTTCTAGTCATCACTCTGGATATTATATTACCGCGATATTTCGTTTCATTAAAATAACCATAAATAAAATAAAAAACGCGACGCACAATAAACTAATGAAATATTTTGTTTTAATTTTGTATGATCCATAGATAAAAAAATCTTTATAATGGAAAAGATAGAAAAGCATATAGAAACTTCAACACTGTGTAAAAATAATGTAATAATTTGCTATTTAGAATGAAGTGGATATCACCACCACCACACCAGCCCTTTTACGTCCCCACTGTAGGGGCTCAGGCCTTCCTTATGGATGGTTAAGGAGGATGGGCCATGACCCTCCACGCTGGCCCAATGCGGATTGGAGGGTATTAACGACTGCAAATGCTGCCGGGACCAACGGCTTAACGTGCCTTCCGAAGCACGGAGTAGCTCGAGACAATAATTTTTTGGCCACAACAATGAAGTGGATAACGACCCGGTACTCTCGGTCAAAGAATTAAAAATAACAATAAAGAACATAAAATTATATATAACTAGCTTTTCACCAGCGGCTTTGACCGCGTGATCCCTAGGGAACTGTTCGTTTAGATATCAATTCATATCATGACATGGATATAATTAAAATAACAAATTGAATAGTAAACAATGATCGCTATTGTAACGTTTTAATTCCCTATACTAACTTCCACTCCCATTTTCATCCCAGTTATTTGTTGATTTTCAGGGTAAAATATAGTCTATATTCACCGCATATGAGCTACCTTATACCCGTAAGAATTTTTAATTCGATGCAAACAAACAACCAATCAAATATTTCCCCTGTATAATATTAGTAATAAGAAAGCATCTATACTTCTAAATATATATTAATATATCTTAAAAGTGGTCCAATTATTCAAGAAAATTCAATTGAAATCGGACTGAGATTTTCTGTAAAACACATACCCGTCGAACATAATAAAATCCTTTTCATTTTGAAGGCGATTAAAAAGTATTCTTTTTGTGATATAATTATATCACTATTATCTAATTTCTTGTCGCAACACTTGTTGTGGTTGTAGTTAAACACTTAAAAGTAATTTAAAAAGGCGTGAACGAAACGAATCTGCCTTTGAATAGATAAATTAGCTTTAATACATGGTTACCTACCTGTACTAATTGAAATAAGATGCGGACGATAACACTGTTTCAGTTTATATAATTTCAAAGCTACTGTTAATTTTCCTTATTTTGCATTATTCTGTCGTTGATGATTTGCTTAATAAAATAAACACACAGTTAAAATTTTATGCGTAAGATGGATCTTTATTGCATTTTTTTTTAATTATCAAGAACTCAAAACTTCAAAAAGTTATTATAAAAAATGTGCGATTTTTTTCTAGAATTTTGCGCGCATTTAGTATAATGTAAACAATAAAATATTCCTGTATTGCTAACAGTATCATAGAATATATTCTAAAAAAATTTCTTTAAATTCCTTGTGTAGTATCATAGAATATGTTCTAATAAAATTTCTTTAAAATCCTTGTTGCATGTAATTTTAAAAGGCTTTCTCTTTGTTATTAGATGCTATGGTGCTGGTTAACAGTACTAATGGTGACGTGGGAGCACGCTAGTGGTCACGGGAGACTGGTAGAGCCGCCATCTCGGGCATCCGCCTGGAGATATGGCTTCGACACACCACACAACTATAACGACCACGAACTCTACTGCGGTGGCTTCTCACGCCAATGGAATAAAAATAGTGGCAAATGTGGCGTTTGCGGCGATGCATGGGATGCTCAACAGCCTAGAGCTCACGAATACGGCGGCAGATTCTATAAAGGTGTCATCGTGCGAAAATATGCCCCCAAAGACGCTATACCTATCAAAGTAGAATTAACGGCCAGCCACAATGGATTCTTTGAATTCAGATTATGCGACGATTACAGAGGAACAACGCAAGAGTGTTTAGACAAATACGTCTTAAAAATTGATGGAAGAGATACTACAAAATTTTACCCCAAAGACGGGAACAAAATGTACGAAATGAAGTATCGATTGCCGGAGAGCTTTGAGTGCTCACATTGTGTGTTGCAATGGAGATACATCGCAGGGAATAATTGGGGAAAGTGCGACAATGGAACTGAAGCTGTGGGCTGCGGACCTCAGGAGGAGTTTCGGGCGTGCGCTGACATTGCGATAGGCGATAAGTTCGCAACTACCACGAGGAGGCCCAGACCCTCTTACGTACCTCCGAACAGAAGACCGACAGTGCCAACTCCAGAGGAGTCTACAGGAACCGCTTGGTACGGTATCCTTGTTGCGATTGTGGCATTATTCGTCGCGCTGGCATTGCTTGCCGGTATATACCTGTACTACTATCGTGGCGGTATGAAAATAAAGAGTCTGTTGAAATCCAAAGTGTCGCAGCCCGCCCCAATCCCTCCACCGAGGCACAAACGCGCTTCACTTTCAAGAGAACAACCACCAGAATTAGTGCCTTCTAAAATAGATAATTTACCTGAATCTGGTTTCGAAACTGTGGATTTACGTACTAAATGATGAGAGTAATTGTTTTTGTATAGTTATATAATTTTCTCATGAGGCTCCTGATAGGTTAAGTTACCTACCACTGCCTATACAGTGATATTTTTATTTCGTATTTTAAAAGTAAGTAAACTAATTATTTGTGAATGTATGGTTGGTTGTTACTGATTAGTGTGAATTAAATGTAATTAAACTAGGATTTTAAATGTAAATTTTATTTATTTTTTTAATAAATCTTTACAGTGTTATATTTATATTTCATTTAGCAGTTATCCCTATAAATTTCACGTCATAAAGTCTTTGATGTTAGAATGGAACATCCCTATAACATTCCTGACTGTACGCTTTTATTGACAATGGAAGTTTTATAGACTATTAATGTTGTCTGTGCTTCCACCCCATCTTCCTTCTCTTCTAGTTGGAGCTGCACAACTATGTGAGTCTTTCGAATATTTCCCCTGTTTGAAATCTATTTATATATGCAACAATATGTTTAATTCGTATCTGTAATTTAAGCCTTGATGTTGACCTATTAAACATTGTGCTTTATGTAAAAAGTGACAATACAAATGTGACCTGAAGTGATTGTCGTTTCATTCCGCCATCACCCGTAGCTAGCTTGATTTAATTTAGATTTGGGACACAGCCACACCATGTATGGGTAATTCTCACGAAATTCCGAAATTCTTGTCCTTTTAGATTATATAAAAATCCAACAAAGAAATGGATGTTACTAATATTTTTATACAATCCACATACCTCTATCTAAAAGTATCACATAAGATTTTAGAGCCGCATAAATAAATAAATAAAAATGCATAACCATAATGTATCTAATATCATTACCTCACTATGTCCCATGTACCAATTTTAATTACTTTTATTTACCAAAAACGTACAAAAATCATTCGAATCATATTCAAGCAAGTCGGATTTTTTTTTAAATATTATAAATTTATGGAAAAAATCGATATTAGCGTCATAAAGTAAAAGACGCGTTAAAAATTTGAATATTTATATGTGTCTCACAAAAATAAATCATTCCCTCACACTATTACCGACAGTTGAATTACTAACGCATTTTAAATAAAATACGAACGCTACCATTCGTTTCTGAAAGTTGGCACTAATGTTAATTTGTCAAACTGGCGTTTTTTCTGTGATTGTGTTCGGGTGTGCGCTGCGAAAAGGTTTTATTAATTATATGGTTAAATTAAATTTTTGATCGTCATTTCATCACATTCTAAAAAACCAAAGGTAAGTACTTAAATTGGTTATAAGTTGCACAGATAAAATGGCTTTTGGGAGTAATTTCCTTAAGCAAAAAAATCGTTTTAAAAGTAAGGTTATGTCACGAGTCCTTAACAGTTATTCTTTATTTCATCATTCCCTCACCATCATTCCCACATAAAAAATTATGGTGAGGGAATGATGATATATGAGGAAATGATTTTTTGGTAGGCTGACTGACTTTTTTATTGTTTGCTTTTATTTATTGTCGTTTATTTATGATTGTTTATTGTTGCAATATTGTTGCAGGTTAAAAATGTCAAGAAAAAAGAAGAAAAGACGAAGCTAAATTAAAAAAGCAAGAATATGACCGAAAGCGCAGGCAAAAAATGAAAGCTGATCCTGTAACACTTGAAATACTTCGTGAAAAAGAAAGAATTAAATACCTAAATAAAAAAGAAAAAGGTCAAGTAAAACCTATATCCGCAATGAGTTCTCGAGAAAGAAGGCAAAAAAGAAAAAACTGGAAGAAAAATAGCCAAACATATAGAGACAAAATAGTGAAGGTGCGAAAAAATTTAGCAAGACTGTTAGATGAGACACCACCTCCTAGCCCAGGGCCTATACAAAATAATGATGATTTAAGAAATCTGACAGTTAATCGGAGAAGGCAGCACCTAAGAAGACGCAGAGGAATACTTTATGCAAAAATATCCAGATTACAGGAAAGACTGAAACAAGAAATAAGAAGAAAAGAGAAATACCGTAAAAGATGTCAAAGACAAAACAAAAATAATCAGACTTCACCAGAAGCCAAAGTATCAGCTCTCTTAAAGAACGTCCGAGTTCCTAAAATTGTGAAAAAGAAGATTCTTCTATCAGAAGTTATTACTAAACAGCTAAAAGACAGGTACAGTAATTTAAAGAAACATAGTGAAAAGAAAAAGTATTATGAAATAGTAAAACCCGATCTTTTGAAGAAGCATAAACTACTCAGCTTATCAAAACAGTTTTTCAAACATGATTGTTACAAAAAGAGCATTTTTAGGAAAGTAAGTGCTAAATTGATGCAGGTCAAACAGGATGTTCAAGATTTTTTGGAAAAGGATGAAAGTTCTCGGATGTGCCCAGGAAAGAAAGATTTTGTAAAATCAAAAGGACATGTAAAACAAAAACGTTTACTGTGCGATACCATGAAAAATTTGCACAATAAATTTCTGACTACAGTTGAGTATAAAATAAGCTTGACAACTTTTTGCAGATTTCGGCCTTTTTGGGTAACTTGGGCAAACTTAAAAGACCGTAATACATGCAAATGCGTAATCCACGCAAATGTTCAACGGATGATTATGAAGTTACACGAAAATAAAGTATTGCCTTACTGTAATCTAACTAAATTTTTGACCATGAAGACATGCAATGTTTATTCAACTAAATGTCTTTTACGAGAATGTGAAGGTTGTGCAAATAAAATGATAGAGTATTATCTTCCACAGCCAAACAGAATAGTGACTTATGAACAGTGGATGTATAAAACTGTATCCTACGAAAAAAATGAAAATATAAAGACAGTAAGAAAACCCATTTTAAAAGAAATCAAGGTTTCACTAAGATCATTGGTACATCAGTTAGAGAATACTTTGCCTTTATTTTTTAAACATGTTGCCACGATAGCACACCAGTATCAGACCATATCAGAATAATAGACACGATACAATGGCAGTATGGGCACACCTATTACCAGTTTTTGAGTGGCTTAAAAATCACAATCCAAATATTCACAGAATACACATGCTAAGTGATAGTCCTGTCAACCAGTACAAGAACAAGTTCATGTTTCATTTAGTATATCATCATATAAATGATTTGTTTCTGGGTGCGACATTTTTTGCGTGGAATTATTCAGAACCAGGCCATGGCAAAGGTGCTCCTGATGGCGTAGGTGGCACATTAAAAAGAACAGCTGATAAAGCGGTGGCTGAAGGCAAGGACATCGTAAATCTGAAATCTCTCAAAGAAATTTTGTTGACAAGATGTTCTTCAATAAAGCTATTTGAAGTTACCACTGCTAATATTGCGAAAATGGAAGATTTAGTCAAACAGTCAACCATCATTGCTGCATTTCGTGGCACTCAGAAAATTCGTCAATTTGTCTTCAGTAATAATGCCTTGGAATTTAGAAGTCTTTCATGTTGTCAATGCGCAGAAAAGTGTAAACATTTTCACATGGGATTTTATAAATCTACAAAAGGTTGCATTGAAAAACCAAGGTCCATTGAATTAAAAACAAGAAATAAATATTGATGGACATTCATCAAATGATATTACAAGTATTTGTACGGACACTAATATTACTTATAATATTGGTGATTATGTACTTATCAAATGGGACGAAAATATTTACCCAGGGGAAATAATATCAGTTTCTGAGGAAGGTGCTTTAGTAAAGTGTATGAAAAGAGGAACTAAGTCTTGGAAATGGCCTAAAATCCGAGATGAACAGTTATATGCCTGGAATGACATTCTAAAGAAGATTAAGCCTCCAAAATTAATCAAGAAGGGTTGTTATTTTATAAAAGATTTAAACTAGTTTAAAATATCTGATTAAGATTTTAATTGTAACTTTGAGACTGAATCATTTAAGATTATAAATTTTAAGAATTATTTTTTGTTAGGAAAAAAGCTAATTAAGTATATATGTTGTTTTGATACTAAAGATTTAAAAAGGAAATTTTTCTGTTGTTAAACTGCTGTTAGATGAATCTTTAAGTCAGCAAGGATTTTGTTGTCATTGTTATTTAATCAAGTGAAATAATAAATAAAAATAACTAAATTTGAGTTATGCCAAAGTGCTGGAATAATTTTGTGATTTGCTGGAATTACTTATTGATTTAACTTATTGTTTACGAACAAAATTGCATTGAATAAAAAGATTTCTTTGAAAAAAAGAACTAATTTTATTAAAAAGCTACATGACTTGTCTGCAACAATCATTCCCTCGCCTTAATTGTCATTCCCTCACTTTGATTATTTTTAATGTCCTCATAACTTTCATAAAACGTGATAATTTTTGGGACCACTACGTAATTTAATTCTAGTAACATTAGTACTATCAAATTCACATTAAAGATATATCAAATAACTTCAATATTTTTTGTCATTTTAAGATAGCCGAATTTCGGGATTTCGTGAAAATTACCCGTATACTTATTAGTCTCCACTACGCTGCAAGCTCTACAACATTTAACACAAGCATATGAAATGGCATAAAGTTATTTGTATGATCGAATCAGTATTTCCGTAGATTATCTTCAACAAACAAACAAACAAAGTTAGTATTAAAAGTATTATTATATAGTAGAGATGAGTAAATTTTGTAAACTATAAAATGTGTTCAATGAAAAGAACTATGTTATAATATAAATATTATTTTATCTGCAATCATATTGATCTAAAGATTGTGATCTGTATGTTATGTGATCTTATGTGTGGCATATAACTATTGTCTATGGAATTTTTATGTCTGGTAACAATCCCACATGTCACAATCGTCACTGTCACTGTCAATGTCAAAAACGTACCAAAGACAAAATCGCAAAACAAACGTGCTCGTGCTGTAAAAAAGCATAAAAAACTTGAAGAGCTCTGTAAAATACCCAATTCACATTATTTATAAATGAAAAATGGCTGTGCGTCCGCAGCACATGCATGACGGTGGTATTGTCGAGCGTCGTTTGCGTCCAATTTACGGTAAAATTTCATCAACAAATTGAGTGCTATTTTCTGACCGACCTCCCTTAGCAAGCGAGAGCGTTAATTGGTACCAATAAATCGATTTATGCATTTTACAGATTGGTTAGATAATGGAAATAATAAAAAAGCTCTTCAAGAAGCAGAGAAAGTGTTAAAAAAGAGTCCTAATTTACAAGCGGCACGGGCATTGAAAGCTTTAGCACTTTTTAGGTTAGGAAAGAAATCTCAGGCTCATGCCCTGCTAGATGAACTCGCCGCAGAAAAGCTAAGTGATGACACTACACTGCAGGCGATGACGATATCATATAGAGAATCGCAACAATGTAAGTATTTTTAAACAATTAAGGGAACGTAATCTTATACCCTTAGTATTTAAGGACTTTCTGATTATTTTATGTGAAAGCAATAACTTCAATTGTCATTAAGTAGTGCATAGAGTTTTAAATTACCCATGTTATTAAAGTGATTTATCTCCTTATGCATACTTAACAGTTTTACTATTTAACAGTTTGATTCAAGTGTATAATTCGAAATTTAAATTAGTATTTTTATTTGCTTCAGTGCATAAAGTGTGTGAACTATATGAATCTGCTGTGAAAGTGGAGCCTTTGAATGAAGAGCTCCACTCGCACTTATTCATGTCATATGTTCGTGTTGGTGATTACCGAGCACAGCAGAGAGCAGCAATGGCCCTTTACAAGTTTGCACCCAAAAACCCTTACTATTTCTGGGCTGTCATGAGTATTATTTTGCAGGTTAGTTTGGTCATAATATTCATAAATTTTAGTAACAGAATGTATATTTATGTGAATTAGGGTCAGTTGCACAAATGTCCATTAAGGTTTAATGATGCCTTTAAGTTCTATTGAAGTCAAGTTTGTATGGGTAATATCGCTTTAAACTCATGACAATTTTAATGGACGTTTGTACAACTGGCTGTTAGGCACTTAAAGTAATTGCATTGGCTTTACTTGAATTACTAAGTTGAAGCTACTCAAACTTGTTAAAATTTTACAGGTCTATAAATTATTTTCAACAATGCTCACGAAAATTCTATTTCTTGCAATAATTAATGTAGCTAACCTGTAAGCTAACATTGGATTTTTAGTTTCAATTTATTTTGAATCTAATTAAAGAAGTTATTGTAGAAAATTGTCAATGTGTCACTGTGCCTTTTAAATTGGCTTCAATTATTTAATTATTTCACATTTATATTTATTTAATACTCAGGCTAAAACTTCAGAAGATGCTACCAAAAAGGGCATATTACTATCATTAGCGCAGAGGATGGTCGATAACTTTATCACTGAGAACAAAATGGAGGCTGAACAAGAGGCACGACTGTATATAATGATATTAGAACTCCAAGAAAAATGGGACGACATTCTTAAGTTTATTGAAAGCCCCTTATATTCCCAACTAGTGCCTGGTTCAAGTGCACAAGCATGCATCCCATATCTAAAGAAATTAGGTCAGTGGCGGAGACTGAATTTATTGTGCAAAGACCTTCTATGGGATAATCAAGATAGGTGGGATTACTATCTTCCTTATTTCGATTCTGTCTTCCAATTGATGAAAGAAAGTGAAATTAATGGTGAAAGTAGTGCTGATGACACTGCAGAGAAGTGTCACGAGTTTATATGTCAACTTGTTGAGAATATGACTTCTGGCAGGACTTTACGAGGGCCTTATTTAGCTAGATTAGAGTTGTGGAAGCGTTTGTCGAAAGACGGGGATCCTACATCGCTGCTTGGTTCTGGCGTGGCATTATGTGTACAGTATTTACGTGTGTTTGCTGATAAACCTTGCGCAGTACCGGATTTGAGGCCTTATTTAGCAATGTTGCCACAAAAAGAGAGGGAAGAGCATTCTAGAGATTTTCTCACTTGTCTAGGATTCAATGAGAAGAGTGAACCAGAAACGGTAAGTAATAATATGAGAACAATTAACAAGATTGTTGAAAAAAGTAGTTGTTAGAAGTAGATAGTGCTTACCTCAGCCCTATCTACTTCTAACAATACTCGCAATCTTACTGAACAAGTATAAAACTTAATATAATCTAAAAATGTCAAATACAGTATAGGATTTAATGCTTTAAATTTTGGTCAAGAGATTGCAGCACTAGCATATGTTCTAAACTGTTTTTTTATTTTTTATTAAGAGCAAACATCACAGTGTAACGAGCAAAGAGTAAAGGAACAGTGAGCATATATAGCATAGTAATTTAATATTATTTTAATTTATAATTAAAAAGGGTGTAATTTTCCCCTATAAAACATCAGTGCTGCTTATTTGGATCTAAAAAGGAAGAAAATCACAATTTTCCAAAAATTGTGATTTTCTTCCTTAAAAAATTAGGTTACTACATGTGTTAGTGTTGCCATGTATACCAAGCTTAGCTTAATGTTGCTTATTGCCCAAAAAATTATATCCAATGATTTTGTATTAACATACAGAATTACACCAAGGAGAAATGTTAATAATCTCGATCATTATTGAGGCACCCTGATTTTAGCTTTATAATTAACGGCATTTTCTCATTATCGTGGCTTAGCAATATGAATTGCAACAGGAGGAGAAGAGAAACAACATGTTCCTAGCAATGCCATTGTAAATTTATCTTTCTTTTTAATCACAATTTTCTCGTTATCAATGCCATTTATCAATAGCGATAATTTCGCTATCTTATAATTGATCTTGAAGTAATTACATATGAATAGGACTATTATTTTGATTGATTTACAGCTTTTGAAAGCATAATGCTATAAATTTTACATTAGAGGCAAATTGAAAAATTGAACATTAGTAATTTAATCTTTACGTATATATAGAGTACCAATCTCATAACATCATAATAAAATTATATTTAAATGTTTGTTAGTAATAATCTTCAAAAACATTGAATCACTTATATTTCGAACCATGACGTCATAATTAAATCAACATGAGTACTAGTTGCACTTGCAACAAAGGAGTTTGACGTTTAGTTTATTGAAATGTGACATAACAATATGCTCCGTCAATGCCGCCCGCGTTTCGATTTTTGTAATCCACAGATTATTATCAATCCCGACATAATTTATATTTTATTGTTATTTATAACTGTCATGTAGCCAATTTATTTGTTATTAATGTAGCATTAAATGTGAATGTGTTACTAAAAGTAATCCTTTGTTCATCTCTGCAATTCAGACAAAGGACGTCCAGCGTCACATCTCGTGTGTGGCCGCGTGGCGTCTCGCCGCCGCTCCGATGTCCGCTGAGGAATGTCTGGAACTAGCGAATACGCTGCGGGCACATTATATACGCAGCTTCAACAAGGGGTTGCTTACTGCTACCCTGACTGAGTTCTGTTCGACTGACGGATATGGTATTCTAGCGGCTCATCATTATTTCTATGCAGGTTAGTCTTTTTAGGGTTTTGTGCCCAAATTTTGCCGTCTATCTGTCTGTCACCAGGCTCTTTCATCTCATCTCATCCCTTAACCAAAAAGCTAACCTCATTAACAACAATATTTGATCTATGAGTATTAACATTTTTAGAAAAAATCTTTTTCACGATTTTATTGTGTTGTCGTGACATTTATAAATTGTATTTTATTCTTAAACAGAGAGATGATACTACGCTGGCGCATTTAAGTTCAACACAAATTGTATTTCTTTCCTAAAAAATCATAAAAGATAAGTGGTTCGCACGCTAGTTTCAAGAGGTCGCCGTCTCTGAGGTGTTGGGTTTGATTTCCGATAGAGTCGATGTATTTTTTTATATTATCTCTGGTCTAAGTATTGTGATACTTCCGTTGTCTCAGCTACTATATCCTGGAATCTAAGCACTGTATGTGATGGTTTCTGGTATTTGTTTATTTCATTATCACCAGCCTATTTATGTGCTCATTGCTGGGGCAAAGGCCTTCCCTACGGATGAAATATAAACGAATCGAATAGGGAGATTGGGCCATGACTCACCACGACCCGTGCTGATTATTGGGTATTATCGACTGCAGATGCAACCGGGACCCATAAATAATAAATTTTTGATCTCCCATCCTATGACCGACCCTTGCCAAAGTTGCTTAACAACCGTATCGAGCAATGGTTATATAATATCTATACTTATATGTTGCAGCGATGCAGCAGCAGAGTACTGCGCCGGTGGTCGAGGCTCTGTGTTTGCTAGAACTGGTACTATCACATTCGCCTGCCAACTTCCACGTCAAACTACTCCTAGTCCACTTATATCACTTCCTAGGTAATTATTTAGTAGGTAATCTTCATTGCCTTGATTTAAAACTGAAGAACAAATAGAATGGACATTTCGTTCGACGGAATTTAAAATTAATAATTTCTTTATTAAATTAAATATAGCAATGAAAATGATTATATATGAATCCCGCATGCGACTGCTGAGAAACAAATAAGATATCATGATCCTCTCCATTTTTTATTAAACGCACATAAAATCTCATGGAATACACTGAGGGCGCCGAAGGAAACTAATTTTAGAATTATTTGTATGAAAACATATGATGCCGCACGCCAGCAAGCTTTGAATCATTATACTCCTATGTAACATACATTCAGATTTAAAGAAAATTCGTTGCGTTCGCCTCCTTAGACGCGGTCAATCTTAAACTTATTTAACCTTCTCAAAAATATAAACATATCGACTGTTATAAACACAGGCAATGCGATTGCGGCGGACAGTATATACCAGAAGTTGGAAGTGAAGCATATACAGCTTGTGTCGTTAGGGTGGTTGCACGCGGAGCGTTTGTCTGCCGCGTGCGCGCTTCAACGAGCTTTACAGCTATTGGCGAACACTTCCTCGTTTTACACGCATCATGCTAAAGACGTGAGTACCATTTAAAAGTAATAGAGTATTCTACTCTGATTAAAAAACTACTTGTAAGTTTATATTTTGATATAAATAATCTTTTAATCTTTTTGCCTCTATATTTAATTTCTTAGCACGAAAACGCTGTCCGCCAAATTCATGACTTCATTTCCATATGAACACAAAACACATAGAATGTATTATTAAATGGATTCAAATTTTTGTTTATATTAAAAATTAGTACACATTAAAACGCGCGCTTGTATCGGACTAGTTTTCTCAAAACGCGCAATGCGTACTTATACTAAATCTTTTTGTCAATTCTCTGTCACACCAAAACGGGTCCAAATCTGTGATTATCTATCTAGTAATAGTATAATTACCGATACAAATTTTTCAAATTTAGAACATTCATTAGAGCTTAATGTTGTCATATGGAATCGTTTCGTATTTAGAGCGTTGAGCACCTGACGTACGCGTACAAGTACGGCACGTTCGAGAAACTGGTAGAGCTGCGTGCGTGGGGTTCGCGACTGGAAGCGTGCGCGTGGGGAGCCTTATCCGCCCGCGAGAGGGCGCTGCTGTCCCTGCTGGCGGGGCCCGCTGTGTTACTGCACGCGCCCGCCATGCTGCTACCCGCCACGCCCACGTGAGCGATACTATATAATAATAACTAGCTTTAGCCCGCGACTTCGTCCGCGTGCTGAAGTTACTTTGAGCAGCAATTCTAACGAATATTTATTCATTATACCATGTAAAATATCTGAAATAAAATTTCATCCCCTATTATCCCCTTGGGGGTGGAATTGACCAAAATCCTTTCTTAGGGGATGCCTACGTCATAGTAGCTTTATGCATGCAAAGTCTCAGCCCGATCGGATTAAAATTGACAAAGTTTCATACAAACTTTCATCCCTTATTTTATCCCCTTGGGGGTGGAATTGATCAAAATCATCTATTAGCGGATGCCTACGTCATAAAATCTATCTGCATGCATGCCAAATTTCAGCCGGATCGGTCCAGTGGTTTAGGCTGTGCGTTGATAGATCACTATGTCAGTCAGTCACCTTTGAGTTTTAGATACTTTATTATCCACAATTAAAAATAAAGTACATCATCGTGTGCCTCCTTTTAAGTACAAATAATACCTGTATCGGGAGGCCACCAATCTTCCAGTCTTTATATAGGAATATACTTATAAATTTTATGACAAATTATGGAAAGAAAGAGACAACAGCATTATTGATTCAATAAGGAAAACAATATTAAGATTATTATTTATTACCCATCCTACTAAGTGTGCATTTGTCAGTGTGTATGTATATGTGTGAGTGGGAGTAAAAATACTCGTAAAACACTCTTATATCAGCTGTGCTGGCTCGCGAGATGGCGTTGCTGTTCCTGTTGGCGGAGCCTCGTGGGCGCACTCGTAGCTTCGTCTATATTGCCTTATTCTTTAGTATTATTTGTATACATGTCGTGGACATATTATAGAATTGATAATTTTATGACCCGGCCGGTCATTTAATGAAATGGTCGTATTTCATGAAACAGTTACCTTAAATGCATCATATTTTTTAAGCAACATTTAATAATATTGTAATCCACGTTGATCATTCATGTAGGGTGTCCAAATAAGATTTTTTTTTTCTGTTATAGCTTGTTTATACGTTAACATTTGTGTGGTCTGAAAAAAATATATTATCATCAGCTAGATCAAAATACTGCCTTTGCACTAAACTCCTACAATGACTCACTTAACTTAATCAAGTAATTGTTTTTCGTTGCTTATTCACCCTAATTTAATTTGTTGTATAACCTAAAAATGAAAATACATCATGTATAATTAAAACAATGCGACATCAGGGCCTCTTACTGAGACTAATATAACTATTTTACGATATGATCACTAATTCTTGGCCATTCACGAAGCGGTCATACGATCAGCAGCCAGTGTCGTTAAACGAAAATTATTCATTGATCTGGCCAGGCAACATCATTATGCAGGCAGCAAGTTTTTTCCATTTCATGAAATACGATCATTTCATTAATGGCCGGCCGCATTATGAATTGATCAATTCTACGATCTGGCCACGACATATATATTTGCCTAAATAATGCGATCATTCAGTGCTTATGTTATAAATACTGAACAATTTACCTCTACTCCAATGTCTGTGGTCCGGTCTGTGAGTTTTTAAAATAACTCATTAATTAATTGATTTCGATCTCATCAGCTTAAATGAAATGCATACAACAATCCAGCCGCGAAAAAAGAGAAAACAGCCCATAGAAATCTAAAAACTGATTTGATTCAATCCGATGCCAATCAAATCAAAGTCAAACAGGTTACACAATAGAGCAACTGTTCTACCTACTTGCTTCCATATATTGGTTAGGCCTTTGCCCCAGCAGTGGGAACACGAAAACATAAATAGGCTTGGAGCTCATTATTAACTGTACCATTCTCTAATTACAGGGACAACCGTGATCTAGACGTAATAGTTAGTTTTGAGCCTCCTGAATCCCACGACGCTAACTTAAAGGAACGCACTTACGATCAAGAAGTAGCATATTTACGACTGAAGGACGCCCTCCTGTCGTCTATAGCGCTTTGTATAGAATGCTCTGATAGTAGACCTTTAGAAGAAAGGAGACCGCAATATGAAGAATTGAAGACATGTATAGACGCATTTAGTGAAGCCATGAAGAAATGTAAGGAGAAATACTGTGATATAGAGAAGATTAGTATAACAAAGCCGTACCCTTCTAGGATTTTTGGTGAGTGGAGTTGCTCCATTTTCATATACAGGCAACAGCACATTGGGTATACAAAACTTTTAAGTTTCTTTGATTTTTTAATACATTAAAGATTAAGCTCAAAATTGACTGTAGAAATTTGACAAATTATGGTATTCTTATGCGCTGCTGTGTTTTATTTCCAACTACAATGGAGTGTGGTACTATCTTTTTTATATTTTTTTCTTTATCATAGCACAAACATTCAAGAGAATTAATGTTCAAAATTTAGATGTAAAAGTTATATTTTTATACACAATGTGTATTTTTCGGCAGCTTTCGTCAATTCACCGATACCATACCGGGAGTTGTACAGTGAAAGCGTGCTGATGGTGGGGGAACTAGCTATGGGCGACACTAGCGCCGCGCGGACACGATGCGACTTACTCACCACTCTAGTCAACAACTCAACACGGCTGCTGCCCAAAGATATCCAGCTGTGGACGTTACGAGATTCTTTGGAGACGTTATCACATTATCTAGAGGTAAGTCTGTGAAAATTTACTCACTAGTTAGCTACCTAGCAAATTAACTTTGTGCTAGCAATACTCGTTACCAACATTTTAAAACGAGGAGCTGTCATATTATTTAGAGTTTAATACACGTATACACAGTATCATACACTATCAGCCAGTAGCACAAACGTCCATTAAAATTGTTAATAGTTTGAATTGACATTACCGATACGAATTTGACATTCATTAGAGCTTAAAAGCGCCAAAAAACCTTAATGGACGTTTGTGCAACTGACCATATGGGTGGTAACACATCTAACACCACGGAATCCTCATTTTCCGTCGCCCTATTCTTTTCTGTCGCTTGGAACCGACATTTGCTATAGCGAGAGAGGATATTGCCCACAGAAATATATCTAGTTAGAAGGAAAAAGTGTACGTACTTCGCGTGCCGAAACGACGTCTAGACAACTTCATTGCTCGCCGCGAGGCTCAGTCCACTTTCGATCGCAATCGGTGTTGGACGAAATTTAAAATGATGCGTTGTTCGATAATTACCTGCTCAAACACCACCAATATGGTTGGATCTTATAGTCGAGGTATTTCCTTCCATCGGTTAGTAACTATTTGCCTTGATATATCTATTTTGAATTAAAAATCATTAGTTTTGTTGCTCCATATTATTTTTATCAAAACGGTCATGTGTCCAGTAATAGCTTTCCATTGCGGCTTTAATTTGACAGTCCAAATTTGCTGTATTTGTAAAACCATCGATGTATAATTCAAGGTCAATTTGTTGGAGGACAAATTATCATTTTTTTTGTCAAAAATGGAGAATAGTGCTGTACAATGCGATTTTTTTACCCGATTAAAAAAATATCGTTTTTGAAAGCAGAAGAAAGGATAATTAATTTTATATTGAATTATACTGTAATTTTTGTTTAAGTTTTCCGTATGATCCTAATATTAAAAATAAATGGATTGAAGCAACAGGACTCTAAGGCAAATAGTAGGTATACTTACTGGACATGGAAACTTTAACAAACACCTATATAACATGGGTTATTCTGACAGTCTTCTGAGCAGGGCGTGCATGGAGACTGAGGAGATTGTCTCCTCAGTCTCCATTCCAGTATCACATAAGCATTTGTGCACTCATGTGATACTGGAATGCAGGAGCCTATTAAGACAAAAGGACTACATATCTATGAAGCCCAAGGATACTAGTGGAAGCATGCGGCAGAGTTCGAGATCTTACGGGCTTCCTGGAGGAGCTGGGGTGCCAGGACTAAAGCAACCCCGTGTCATGCAAAATAGGCACTGAGTATCGAGTTGCAGAAAAGCCCGCCGTGAAACATAACATAACAATACAGGACGTAAAAATGTGTAGCGTGTCGGGAGGGGGTAGCGGCTACTACAAAGTGTTTGCTCACAGAAAAATGCCGATTTCTATTCTATCGCATAAAATCTTTTTTGCGCCGATTCACTAAATTACATTCGTGAGTTCGTGACATATACATAATATTTAAGCAAAATGGTAGTCTGTCTATAAAGTCATGAAAAAAATTGAGGGCGCTGCGATCGTGCACGTAGCAACCCTGTGTAGTGAGACAAATGATTTTGATAATAGGATTTTTTTTTTACTTTTATTACCCCAGAAAAGGTAAATGAAGGCGTATAATTCGTAGACAATGAGTTTATTCTACATCGAAGATTACAATATAGTAATCGTAATTTTTGATAAATCTTTTTTTTTTTATAATTGCCAAGTTGTTTTCTCGTTTTACTGCAATGTGTGCTTGTGTTGGATTAAAGCCTGTTACTTTGACACTCCTTGTAAGAAAACCCAATATATTTCAGAATTTAACGCAGAACTTCTAGGCTACAATTAAAATCCAGATCGGTTTTGGCAATCCACTGATGTTTTCTTCATGTAGGTACCTCTTTTTTTCACAGAGTAAAAGAACTGAATCTTTTGTCGAAGTGCACAAATGTTGCAGTTAACCATTTATTTCTTAGCACGACTATCTGTTTCCCAGGGGTTTCAAATATGCCACCATTTTTATAACCTTCATCTACAATACGTATCACTATATTCTCTGATTTTCCTGAAAGTAAGTTTTAAAAATGTAATACCTATAGGTATTTGGCAAAAAGAATGGAATCGCCACAATGATCAAATTAATGCTATAATTTTAGTAATATAAAGCACAAACTTTTTATTGGCGTATGTAGGTAAAAGTCGTACATTCATAACAGGTATATTTTTTATTCAGATTAAAATCAATGATAAATTTGATTATCCAAAAGTATTGAAAGTTCGGGCCTTCTAACATTTTCAATCTAACCTATAAATGCATAATGTAATCAATACTTATTTTAGACTTAAATTCATATATTTAGTAAATTTGAAACTTCTGGTAACCAAAACTCAATCAGTAACACGATTACATACCAGCCATAACTGCCGTTCGAGCTTTAACATCCTACAAATATGATAAAATGTGTCCAGCTTCTTGTTCCAATAAACATCACTGAAAAGCTTTATAAATAATATCCTGAGCTTCACTCTGATTAATTCTCTTCATTTTTAACACTTCGACGGAGTTTAGAAGAAGTAGCTTCAGTTTAATCAAAACAAATCAAAAATGCAGAAAATCGAGCTAAAAAATCAAGTTGTTGACAGTCGATGTACTTTGATTCAGTGTTGTCATACTTGTGTCTAATGTTAGTTCCTCAAACATTCTTTTCACGACTTTATAGACAGACTGTACACGTTGGTCTCCGTCGATCGATATCGTTTTTTCAATCGATAAGAATCGGTATGCTGTTTCAAATACAATATGTATTCGATGCAAGTGAAATTATGTCTTCCATCACTAAATTAAGATCGTGGCGTCATGATACCTACACAAAATGTGGCACGCTCGGTCTCCATATAAATCGACGAACATTTTCGTTCTAACTAGATTTATTTCTGTGATATTGCCCTTTCCCCATTGCTTCGAGGATCTGTAGCGTGCCATTATGGCTCGATCAAATGTAATACAATTATGTAATAGCCACCTGTTAGCAGCACTGGTGGTTATGATCCGAAATAGAAAGCTGCCACACTACATTAACTAACTAACTACTGGCAGCACAGTGGTCAATAATCTGCGACAGAGAGCTGTCACGTTATATAAAGGTCAGTCCGATACACTGTAATTACCTGCTATCAACATTGATGGTCAATTATCTGTAACTAGAGCTATCACACTATCTAAAGGTCAGTCTGATACACTGTGTACACTGTAACTAACTGCTGGCAACACTGGTAGTCAATAATCTGGGACAGAGAACTGTCACATTAAAGGTCAGTCTAATACACTGTAACTACCTCCTGGCAACACCGATGGTCAGTTATCTGAGACAGTTCTATCACACTACTTAGAGGTCAGTCTGATACACTGTGTACACTGTAACTAACTGCTGGCTACACTGGTGGTCAATAATCTAAGTTAGGGAGCTGTCACACTATCTAAATCACACTACTATTGTATATTATTATTATAATTATACTGATAGGTCGGTTACCATGAAAGTATAAGTAGCAGTAGTGGGTTTTTTAATAGAACTATTACTTACAGCATATATGTCTCTTATCTTATACAACAGTTTAACAGGGTAATTTCTCTTACAGTTTATTGGGATAATCAACTGCCTGCTAGCCGTATGCAACGAGCTCTTCGCACCTGCTAGTACAAAGAAATCGAAAAAGAAAACCAACCGATCACCAGACGAAATCAAAACCGCCGAGCTTCTCAACAAACTAAACGAAACTGTACAGTCATCGATCACTTACCTCGAAGAGACTTTTGAAAAGTTACCTCAACACAAATACGAAAGCACACTGGAATCAGAATTCTCTAAATTAGCCATAGATAAAAAATTCGGAGGATGTCCAGTAGAGTCTAAATTACAAAATGGCCGCCAAGAAATGATAACGGAAATTCAAAATATATTAAAGAGAAAGACACTGTTTTTGAAGACTCTGATTAATTTTAATAGCCGCGGTGCATAATTATATTATGGAATAGTGCTGTTCTAAAACATAACTAAAACATATCTTGTACATATTGCTAATGTAGTGTTTTATTTTACAATTCACAAATGAGTGTACATAGAGTTTTATAATGGGACTTTCTAGTGATTCGTCGGTCTGGATTAAAAATTAAACTCTGTGTGACCTTGTTTAATGCATATTGACGTATGAGATGATTGATTTTTAATTTGCAATATTTGCATTCGAGAGTCATTTTTTATTAAGAGATGTGTATATGACATAGACAATTTTTTCTGTGGTTTTATTTATTTACTTAAAGGCAGTTGTTCGATCTCAAACAAATGTTCTCGCTATTCAAACATATGTGTGGATCTAGTGTTAGAAAAAGAAGACAATAATAATAGTTGATCGTTTTTTTAAATTTGGTCGCAATTACAAACATTATATAACAGAGAAAACTCGATATAAAAAAAGTGTTATAGAACACCCTAAAAAATAGTTTAATACATCCCGGCGGCAGTTTGCCGAATTCCAGATTCTTCCCCCATGGAGTATTCCACAGTGGATTTTATACCAGCCCCCTTATTCTGTAACTGGCAACTTTTGAAGACAACCGAAATAAATTGTTCACAGAGCTTAGTGGGCAAGCGGTTTTGATATTGTGTAATGCATTTTTAATAAATCACTCTCTTGCCAATTGATATATATATATTTTAACTTCGATGAAATTACTCATTGAAGTTCACTTTCATAATCACTAATACAATACTCATGGAACACAGAATAACGGTTTGATCGATAAGTACAACATCTAGTGTCAAAATGGAGTTCAGTGGATCGCCGATATTGTCATTGCAAAATTGAGAACTGAAGTGATTTTGACACATTGGAGTTGCTCACTTTTCTCCCTTTTTTCGGTGATTATGATTTTAGGTTGTTATTTGAACTAGGGAATAAGCATACTGGTAGAACAACCACTTCAACCTATCTTTTTTAGGACAGGGTTATAAAAGACAGGTTTATGCCTTATGGTGCATTTCCTTTACTTTATGAAAAGGTATGCGACAGCTGAGACTGAATTGTCTAAGCAATCGTCTGTCCTATTCCTACAGCTTCTGAATTTGGTATCGAGCGAGCCATTATTAAAAACAAGAAATGTAATATTTTTATAATGTTAAAGGATAGTCATATACTGCCATAATCGATATTTTATCTTATACTGTACATAACTCCATGAAAATACTGTCCTGAGATCGAACAGCTGCCTTCTAAGTGAAATTTTGCAGTTTCCAAAGACTGTTTCGATAATGCCTATAATAAATCTATAGACATATAAAGTTTTAATTATATTATTGATGTATTGTTTGGTCATCAACTTCACTACTAGACTTAGGTGTTTCGTGCCTTTCCTGCGCACGATATGTAATAAGTAATTATACTTAACATTTTTAAATATGACGATTGCATCATTTGTACAGAAAATTAATGATTTATCACAACTGCTGTTCTATTTTCTTTTATCTATAAATGAATTTTCGGACACTCTAATAATAAAAAACTAAAAGGTAATTTCCAACATAGTCTTGTGTTGTGTAGTGTCAGTCATTGTGGCGTCGCCACACTCTTGGATTTTGAAATGAATTTTCTCTTTACCCATTTAGACGCTTATGTATCACTCTGTAACGAAATAGAGACAAATAGCAAAGTTATGTACTTTCTAAGATAAATAGAGTCTTTGGTGCTGCTGGGCTGACGTTAGGTAGAGCTACAGTTAGTACTCTGTATTTATTATGTATTCCAAAAACTTTCCTTTTCATATTTTATCAGTTTGGGACACAGCGGCGACACATAAAAAATAAATACTTTAATAGATAAGTAATTATGTGGTGCTGCTGGGCTGACGTTTAACTAAACGTTAGGATAGCTATCAAATTTCTGCAATGAATTTAAATTTCTACCCTCAATATATTAAGGTTTAAAATAGAGTGAAGAAATTTTAGAGTTTTGTTTAGTCTGACGTTCTGGAGATAAACTTTAAAGGTGAATAGTTTTGACTTGCTAATTCGATGATTTATGTTAAAATTTATCTGCGAGAGTAAAGGCGGGGAATTAATTTTATAATGCATTACTCTATGTAGGAGAATTAGTTCAAATTGCTTTCTACGACTAGATAATGACGGAATTTAGAATTTCTTCAGTCTTTCCTCATAGAAGGGCAGAGTACAATGAAGTTTAGTTCTAAATAAAAGCGTTCTTAGGGATCGCTTCTGTATTACCACGATCCTCTCAACATGCACCTAATAATATGGTGACCATATTACTGTATTATACTATAATAAACTCCGCACCAGGGCAAAGTATGATGATATGTTCGTAAAGCCTTTAGATATTCTGAAAATGAAGCCCAATATAAACACTATGTGATTATAGTGATGACGGAAAGACAAATCGCTATCAAATATGACTCCGAGATCTCTTATCTCAGATTTACGAGTTAATTGTTGATTGTTTAAGGAGTCTAAATCGACCTGTAGCGTTATCACATCACTGATACAAGATAAAGTATTAATTATATATCTTCAGTTTATCAGCATACAATAAACATGGACACAAAAGGTGACCCACAAGGTCATTAATAAAAATTATAAAAAATGTTGGCCCCAAATAAGATTCCTGTAGGACCCAAGAGGGAACAGTGAAAACAGACGAGAAATCGCCTTTTAAATCTACCAAATGACTTCGTCTATCCAAGTACAATTTCACCCACGGTAACTAATCTCCATGGACACAATACAATTCCAAATTTTTGACAAAGTATCGAATGCTTTGAAGAAATCAGTGTTAATCAGGCAAAGGAGGACTCTCCACCTGTACCTTCTTAACAAATGCGTTACATAAAACATAAGTAACTTTTGTATTCAAAGAGATTGTTAGTAAGACGATAGTTTTGACAGAGTGAACGATCATCAGTCTTATAAATTGGGACAATATGCGCAGTTTTCCAGTGTTGGGAATACTCCTAAAGTTAATGATTTATTAAACAAAATACATAATGGGACACAAAGTTTCCGCACACCTTCAATAATAACGTAGGCATTCTAATCTGGAGCAGCTACCTTAAACTCATCCAATTTCTTCAATCTCATCATGACTTCTTGCTCTGATACACGCATCATCATCATGGAACAAAAAAGGTGATTATAGTTTAAGTTAGTATCAGACAGGTTGTTATTTTCTGAATCATTAATTTATTTCTGTTATATTTTTCACGATCCTTAAATTTCATAATACTGGGTGTTATTAAATGTTTTTTTTGTGGATGTAACTCCAAAATGATTTTAGATTTTGTTTTACTGAGTTCTTTTACTGGTTTTATATATACCCTGTAACAAGCATTCATAAGCCTTTTACTACGAGAGCGTAACAGAAAATGTATCATAGTCTCGCTTATTTTTGTGAAAGAATCATCTTTAGTTACCGGAGTATATTTTATTATTCATTCTTTAAGACTGATAGAAAATGTCAACATCTTGATCTATGTTATCCGAGTGCATCCGTATCGTTGCTGGTGTAATGTCATACATACTATATTTCTTCATTATCATTTACTCCATCAAATATTCTATTCTAATATGTTTACAACAGATCTATGGACCAATGCCTGACAAATTCTACCAAGGCTATCAAAGGGGTCCTAAATGGTACTTTTATTTTTGTAAACATCTTAATACTACATTGTGAAATGCAATAAAATAAAAAAAAATAAACTTTCTTAATGGTAAAATCAAATTAAACATACTGTTAGAATTCGGCAGACGTTACGCACAATGTTTCTAGCTGTTGTTAGTAGCGCCACGGTGTTTCTTTATTATCTCCAATAATATTGACTTTAGCGAATTAATACCATTATATATTTTACTGATAAATAGGAGACTAGTTGTGTCTCTATGGGACTGACGTGAGCCCAGCAGCGCTATAAAGACTATCTCCGAAACAATGTAAATTAGTTATTTGTCCCTATCTCGTAACAGCCTGTTAAACAAGGGACACGAATCTGTGACCTCAGAGGTAGCACCTTTATCAGAGCCACTGCACCTCGATGATTTACAAAGAATTTTAGTATTTGCTTGACATTTAATCTGTAAACAAATTACCTCATTTTCATGCTATGACAGCTCGGGAAAACCATTTAAAACATAAACTTCAATTATAAATATTTTAATTACTATATAATTATTTACACACACTTCAACTAATCTTCATTAATTCCTCATGACAGATTCTGCTATTAAAGCGTATAAATATTCAAATACACACGCAATAGAGATCGTAGAAATAAAAGTCCACCCGACAATCTCCTTGATTTATTTTAAATCTTAAATTGTTGATACTTAAGGTCAAAATTTACTGCAAGGAGATTTTATTAAACCTGATAACCTGATGCTACGGTGTGTACTATTTTTAGCTTAAAAATACGTACTCCCACGTAGAAAAATCTTAATTGATTCGAAATAAACAATAAAAAGTTCGGATGCCTAATTGTCTAATTTTAGAATCTACCGCAATCACTTTAAATTTGACATTTGATAAATATTTAAAAACTTCATGCATTACTAATTGAAACGTGATAGTGATTACGATCGCGACGTTTTCTTGAAAGATCACTAATTTAAGTTTTAAAAAAATTAGATAATTACTCCACAGTAAAGATTAGTCTTTATAAGATACAAAATCATATGTACCTGATATAATATTAGGGTAAATAGCTACAGATTTTTATGACGGATTTAGGTCCAATATGCAATGAGTGCCATAATTAAGTACATTCTCTGTTCGGTGGGTAAAGAATTTCACGTGTTTGTGTAAATTAATGGACCACATTCCGACACGATTTTTTCTAGGGCTGCGGTCACAATACCAGCGATAATTTAAGCATACAAACAAAACGTTATTCTATTGAAGTCATTCATGGTTTTTATTCAATGAAATGAGTGAGATCGAGCCCATACAAATATATCAGAAATAACTTTTTTACTATTATATGTTTTCCTATTATTAAATACTTAAAATCACCAGCGCCCAAGGTGGGATTTTTAAGCATTTTTTAAGAGAGATGTCGATATAGTTAAAACAGTATTAATGTTTTATAAAATCAGTATTACAATAAAGTACAATTTCAAATCGCTCGATCACACACAACGCCTTTAGCCTTTATGAGACAGGCTATTATAATATTGACATGGGTTATACAAATAAGTAAATACCGAATTTCGTTTCTTTAGAGACAAGTCGTCATTAAATTACATAACCAGTTTTCTTACCATAAAAATAAATTGAAAAATATACATATTAAAACAATTAACATTGCCAATTTAAAGTAGCAAACAGAAATGTCCATTTCATAGTAGTAAATTTATGGATGTTTACAATGAGTAATAATAGGGGTCAAAGTATGAAATTGCCGATTTGTACTGAAAATCAAAATTGTTTATTATTTATACATTGCTGCCATCTAATAGGAAGATCGTATATGCCTTTGCGATAGAACTCTGAGGATCTAGACTGCACAAACTGTGTGAAAACATTTTGTACTGCCACCTGGGAAGAAAACTTCTTGTCACGTAGACATTATTTGTCAGATGTTAATGGACTATTTATTTATGAAATAATAAAAAAGTTGTCAACTAGCCTATTGTCCGAATTACGAAAAAAATGGTAGTCCGTTGGAGCAAGGTTTGGCGAATACGGAGGATGATGAATGGTATCTAACTGCAGTTCCTGAAGGGTCAAAAAGGTTTCTCGTGCTGTATGAGGACTCGCGTTGTCATGGAGCAATTATGGTAAAGATCAATTCATGAGTCGGGGCTGTTTTACTGCTAGTTTTGCCAACATTGTTCGGAGTTCGGCGCAATAGACATCTGCCGTTATTGCTTGACCAGATCGGAGAAAACTATAGTGAGTAGGTAATACCATGCTGAGGCCATCAAACAGTTACCATTACCTTTTTAAAGGTAAGATTGCTTTAAGACACTGTTGTGGTGTGGCGTTTGACCTGGGGTCAGTCATTGCATTTTTGATGGTTATCATAAAGAATCCACTTTTCATCACATGTTACAATTCGATCCAATATTCCTTCATATCTGTACCGATTCAACAAGGCAACACAAGTTTCAACACGCGTTTATTTCCGTATTTTATTGATTTGACGCAAATGAGTCAATATTGTGGGTAAGGTAACGTTAAACCATGCCGATTCTTGGGTAGTTTGACTAGTATCGGTTTCCACCATCTCTCTTAATTCATCGTTATTCACTTGTGTGGGCGGTATTCTTCGTGGCTCGTTCTTCAAGTCGAAGTTTCCGTCATGAAAACGTTTAAACCAAAATCGCACGGTGCGTTCATTAACAGACCCCTCTCCAAACGCAACATTCATATTACGAGCTGTTTCTGCCGCGTTACTTCCGCGTCGGAACTCGAATTCAAAAATCACTCGAATTTTCGCAGTATCCATCTTTCTTGTCTAATTTGAATAACAAAAACAATTGAAAGTCGATATTCAAATGTATCACATTTTTTTAAAGAAGAACATCATAGAAACCATTTGAAAAAAGTTTCTTTCGAAAACCTCAAACCATGAAGATTCTATGTCAATTCAAGGAACCTATTACAATAAAACGGCAAATTCATACTTTAACCCCTAATATTCTGATAAAAACACAGCACTGTCGCAGAAATCAAATAAAAAAATGTTATGAAGTAGGTTTTATTTGATTAAATGCCTATGCAACACTGTTATGCGCGACACCGTTACAATTCTAATAGAATAGCAAATCTGATATACAAATATCAAATCTGATATAAAAAGGTTACAATTCTAATAGAATAGCAAATCTGATATACAAAAGGTTATTATTATATTATGTCATTATATTACTATAAGAAGATCATTTTAAAAATCACTAAATACGCATTAATTGTGTTATATTGGTATAAGAAAACTAGGTAACTAACTACTTTGGGCGGTATAGCAAACATATTCTGTTTACCTGATTATTTGAATCTTTAACAATGCAGTTTCCTAAAAAAAACACTTTCTTGTTCTTTAAACATTAATGAAAACTTCGTCTTCTTCGATATTCGAACATACGAACTAACGAACAGCAGGGCCTTCATTTGTTATTGGCAAAATTACGAATTGGCACATGTTTAATACGGCATGGCGACATATCCACACTATACATTTAGGTAGTTCTTAAAGGGGATTACACGCTCAAATTTGTGCGGACAAAAAATTTTGTTGATGGACCCTTCTAAGTTACAGTATAAAAAATATATATTATAATAATTATCACTTAAGACAAACTAATTGTTTCAAAATCATACAATCTTCTCAGTCGAATAAAAAATAAATTAAGTGCTTTATTTCGTGCGTCTAAATACTTAATGTTGCACTGAACAAAAAGATTAAGATATAGTTTATAATTTTTATTTCTTTATTTAATTCTATGTTCTTCTAAATAATATAGTAAAACTTAAAACGTTCAACATTAAACGATAGTTTTATGACCTAGCTTAGGAGTCGCCTAAGTCTGTTATCTAAATATTTATTAATTGCCTAAAGTGAAAACGCATTTCACTAATGACTAGGAACTACCTAACGACTTTAAGCAATGCTTAAAATTATGACATATAAGTATTATGCGGCGCCTTGCACTAGGCATTTGAATAATATGACAGGTCACAAATGTGTCAAGGGATAAAAGACAAATGTTTATTTGGAATTGAACTAATCTGCTTAGGCGATCCGTAAGATTAGGTATTTCCTAGTTAAAGTATGCCTTATTTTTTTAGGTTAATGAAAACGAGTTATAGAGTCTAGTTTAATGAGCAAATTTTGAACGTTTTAAATTCAATATTGGTACAGGTACTATTGGTATACCCTTAATAAAACAACTTTTATTTTTTTCGGATCCATTCATGTTTTATCATTTTAGAAATTCCACTACTTAAAACTGTTCATAAGTTGTTTTATTAAATGGGCACTTCATCCCGTTTTATTATATTGTTGAATAATAAATATAAACACGATTTTAGTGTTTTGTACGCAAAATGCCATCATCTCTCTTTATCTGAGTCATTAGCGTTAGTTGAATACTTAAATAAATATACGACACAACAATAATTCAACCATACTTTACAGTTTACACATGATTTCAAAAACAGCATAAAAAGTACTCTTCAGGGCACCTAGGAACCGTAATTTGTAATTTTGGACAATTAGTAATTTTCTCGCATCGACAACGGGACTTGAATTTCCTTTTGCCTGTTCTCTCTATAAAATTTATTTGTCCGGAGGCTCCGAATTTTTCAGAGTTCTTGAAATAACCCAACTTCGAGATGAACCTCTGCGAAGGTAACTTTTTTGGCGGGACCTCAGTTGTTGAACTGATTTCTGGTGCGTATATTTTATCTGTAGTCTCCACTGTTGTTAAGTATGGAGTACTGATTTTAGTATACTGTTGATTATCAGTAGACTGAGCATTATTAATTTCTTTTGAATCTATACCAGTGGTTTCTGTATTTGTGAATTCTTTATATAGATTATCTCTGCTTGTTGTAGAGACTTCTAGAGATTCGTTGGGTAAATCAAACTGTATTTGGCGTGGTTCCGATGAAGGATTTACGTAGTTGAAGTCGCTAGAGTCTTGTGGGGCTGCGGAGACGAAGCTCATGCAAATGAACACTGCGTAGAGTACTCTGAAAATATAATAACTATATTAGGATTATATTTTAATGTTATTACCCCTTACTATTCTTGTTAGTAATGATAGCTATAAAGAAGTTAATGTATATAAGTTTAAAGAATTGAAAAAACATGGACGAGTTTTATCATCTTAAAGTGGTTTATATATTCAAGAATTGAATTGGGGTAATATTAGTAAGTATCAAATAGAAATTATTACATTTTTCAGTCGTTTTGGATTGGTACTTTACAGGTTCCGTGTAATCGTAATCATTTCTATAAAAAAATCACGCGACAAAGTAGTTTTAATTGATGAGAGTTCGCGTAAAAAAAATAGAAACAAGTAAGTATTTTCTTGTTCCTTTTGCTTAACATTTTAAACCGGTTTTATTTTATCTATTAACACTTTGATATTGCGATCATAAACAATCTTCAAGATATAAACAAATGTTATATATTCCACGATAAATTCCTAAATCCTTATTCTTTATTAAAATAAACAAAATACATAATGTCCACAAGAATATCTTATTTTTTTTCAATGTATGTAGTTTCCAATTCTTAATAATTTACTCTTGGTATTATTTTAATTATACGAAATAATCCTTGAAATCAATCAATCTATCAAATCAATCAATCAATCTATATCCTTTGCTGCATTTGATCTCTGAAGGTAAGTTTAATATTACATTTTCTTTGCCTGCAGTTGTTTTACTGCTTGTACGGTTTTTAGGTTTTCTAAGTCTAGGATTGAAAAGCCCTTGGAAGGCGGCAAGGGGGATGGGATCGCGTATTAACGCATCCCTCCCTTCTGCGGATCGGCGGAAGAGGCCTGACACCCCACCCGCACCCCCTGGGATTAGCCCACGGGGACGATCCACCGTTTGGGAAAAGGCTGTTATTCACCCAAGTCTTTTCCTTCCCGCAGAGGGCGACTCCTCTTCCCCCCGAGAGGAGTCCCAGAGCGGCGGAAGAAACCGGGCCCTCCTTGCAGGATACCGGGTTCTTCCTATCCGTGTGAGGTGAAACGCAGCGGGTTTTACCAGGTAGGCCTTTCACACCAACCTGCCCTTTTTAGGGCGGGGTGGAAGGAGAGTCCTGGTTTGAGGCTTAAAGTGCATTTCCCCTGCGTTAACAAAAAAAAGGATTGGAAAGCCCAACGCTTAATATGACTTAATTACTTGAGAAAATGGCATAAAATAGAACTATCAATAGTTGAAGGTTAATAGCTAATTGAATAATAATATTCTTACTATTAACAGTTCTTACTTCATTTGAATTCTTGTTTATTTGTTAAAATATTTGCATAAGTACTTAATTACTTTTACTAGACTATAGGATACGGGTGTTCCCAATATCACTTTTCTCGGGTGCCCCTGCACACGTAGCATGACAAACTCGAGAACCTTCTCCACCGTTCTCCGATCGAGAGTGAGATATCTTATGGGCACACTCGAGAAAAGTGACATTTTGATGTCGACAAAACGTGCTCGAATTCGTAATGCTAGCGTGCAAGTGTGCCCATACGATATCTCTCTCTCGACCCGAGTAAAGTGACATTTGGTGTGGACTAAGGGTTTCTTGAACTTATCATGGTGCACGTGGTGTAGTCCAAGGTTAGCGTTTGTAATTCACTTTCTCTTTTGGTATACCATCCTTTATTCGAGCATCACCAACTTTTGTCCCTACCTGTGGCATTGTCAGAATAGATAGGTACAGTGTTTTTTCGTCCTATTTTAAAAATCATTTTACTGAGCTATCCTTTTCATATTTATAATAACGTTAGCGTAATTAACAGAAATGTACAGAAGGCTTCAATTCGATTCGACTTACCAGTTAATAATTATTCTCGAAACTTGTTCTAAAGAATATTGTATCATCGTAATTAATAAGGTTGTTATTAATATTGATAACTAGCTGACCCGACAGACTTCGTCCTGTCAAAAAGATTTGTAATGTGGCAGTTTTTTTGCCTACGTATTTAAAAAAATTCTCCTGAACAGAACCGTCACCCTGGTGATAGGGCGTTGTGAATAAAAAATAATTAAATAAAACATATATAAGGATTTAAAAGTAAGTAATCGCTTTATTGTTAATCATGTGAATCATAATTATTATTGCAATGTATTAATAGTAATAGTATTAAATATAGAAAAAAGAGATTTTTATGATCATAAAAACACATTACACACAACAGCATTATAAAAGTAAACTATTCGAATTAAAAAAATATATAAACATTCTCAAGGAAAAATGTTGGAAGAATCCATCTACCTGTACCCCGGAATGGGACTCGAACCCATTCGCGATCCAGGGACTGCTCTAACCAATGAGCTATCTAGGACCCAACAGCTTTGCTACTACAGAGCGTATTTTCATCAATGTTCCGGCAATACATGTAATGACGTGGAAACTGATGCATTTTATCTCGCGTGCCGAAACTAATACAAAAGAAACGCGAGTTTCGGAACGCGACATTAAACTCCTCCAACTATGTATTCTGTGCTCCAACGCACACACGCACATTGTTTTGATAGATATGATCTTTGACGTTAGGAACACACCTACATTGCTTAGACAACAGTGAGTGCTTGTAATTTAATATGAACTTTATACCATAGCAATACAGCTCAAATTGACTACGTTTTAGTTACAAATCATTTGTATGGGAAAAAGAAAAGGGCTATTTTTAGGGTTTTTCCAGCAATATTTTTCTCGCCGTAAAAACCATCCTTGAACTTCAACGAACATTTTAAAAAAAGATTTGGCCAAATTGGTCGAGGCGTTGTTGAGTTATGCGCTTACCAACACATTTTGCGATTCATTTTTATATATATAGATAGATATGTTGGGAAATGGCGGTTTTGTATATACACGGACGTGGAATATTTTACCAACACGCATTTTTGTACGTAAAACTGGCATACTGATTAAACCAAGTAAGTTTAAACAACTATAAGAACAAAAGATAAAAAAAAATATCTAAAAATCTCGCATGCAACAAATATTAAAACTATAGTCTTCAAATTTTTTTTTTTTTTGTAATAAAATATGTCGATGAAGAACTTTTTTTTTATTATTTTAGCCACAGTAATTTCATATATTGGAAAGAATGTTTTTCATCTACAATTTCTTTAATAAATTCATAACTATTTATCTTGAAATTGAAATTGAGCCGGATTCGCGCACGCAGGGTTCCGTATCGTAAACTAGCAAAAAAACACGTTTGTTGCAGGTTTAAATAATTCTTTAATTTTACTTTAATTATTTATTTTCAAAGTTACTATATATAAATATATATTAACATTTTAAGCGTCTACCTGTCGTCGTTATCGACAAGCCAAAAAATATATTTTTGGGAGTCCCCTTAAACATTTATTTTATTCTAGTTTTTAGTATTTGTTGTTGAAGCGACAACAGTAATACATCATCTATAAAAATTCAAACTGTCTAACTTTCTCGGATGATGAGATACAGCCTGGTGACCGAACAGATAGCGAATTCTTAGTCACAGGGTTTGCGCTTTACCATTTGGGTACGGAACCCTGTAAATCAAAGTTCTTTTAAGCCCTATTGTACATCTCGACAATTCTTTTCTTTAATGTTTTTAAGACATTATTATGGACTAGCTTTTGCCCGCGACTACGCCCGCATGGTCTAGTTTTAAGTCCAGAAATGAGAAAATTCCATAAAAACTTACATCCTTTAATTTACCCCCTTATCTACCTAATTTATCAGTCAGTCACTCAGTAACGCAATTATTTTATATATCCAGATGTTGAGTAGATTTACTATTTCATTAAAATTTATATAGAATACTCTTTTTACGTCGTTTTTGTTTAAAAATACAAATCAAGATTAATTGATTCATACATACCTTAGATATTTCATCACTACCTCATTTCGATGTGCTACTGAGTATACCAATTCAAGAATAAGCCGATTTGTTTTCGAAGTGAGTTCGGTCACCAGAGTGAATTCTAATTCGAATTTGTATTTTTACGGAATCGCTCTACTGCCCTGCGACTCTGTAAAAATAGAACCCGAATTTGAATTCACTCATGTCTTTGAATTCACGTCATTAAGTATAAAAACTTCAATTGATTTCATTTTTTGTATAAAGATACAAAACAAAATTGATTGATTATACGTGTCTCAAATCAAATAAAATTGTAATCCTTTATTCAGTTAGGCTTATATATAGCACTTTTGAAAGTTGACAACTACGCCAGATATTCTATTCCTATATCATTTCGAAACTCACTTCACTTATGCCACGAAACGCTATTACCAATTCAAGATTGAGCGGATGCCGCTTTTTGTAGTAAATTTGGATACCTGATTGAATTCTAATTCGGGTTTGGATTTTTCAGAATCGCAGGACTGCCCTGCAATCGTGTAAAATCTATGTATTCAAAGCGTGGCAGGTGCGGGTCGCGGGAAAATAAGTGCATTTGACTTTCTCGGAGAAACGTCGACGTCGCGTAGACGAATGTTTTAACCTAGTTGGGTTAAAATATTTTATTAATTAAATTATCAAATTTTAACTCAACGGTCCAGTAGCTTCGGATATATGACAGACAGACACATAATCGAGTGATCCTATAAATGTTCATTTTTTTCTATAAAGTCAAATTAATTTTGTTATTATTATGAACTTTGTTAAAAGCTGATAACATTTTGCAAACACAAGTGAAAAGATATTTTTTTATTCTCAAATGCTGTTTGAACGTAGTAGGTATCTACAAAATAACCTATCAACAGTCATGTTTTACAATGCTATATTTTCATTTCCGCATAAGATGTACCTTCCCGTAAGTGAAAGAATTTTAAAATCTGTCTTGTAGTGTCGGAACCTATTCAATGAAAACAAACAAACAATCATCTTTCCTTTTTATAATGTTATTTCCACAGAATAATTATTTCTGTGGTTTCTGTGGTTATTACTGACAAAATATTCAAAATTTAATTTAAAAATATTGTAAGCCCAGCTTTCCTGTGTATTTTTCATTCTCCTGCAAAATTGAAAAATAAAGTTTCATTTGCTATATGTTGTTGGGTATACGATGCAGAAATAAAACGATCTGAGGTTTTTCTCGTTTTCAACGGTTATGCAAGACGTTACATAATATAGCCTATATAAATATTTGAAGACCGTGACCCAACGGCATGGGTGAATTGTTTACTTGACATCCAAACTACATGCATAATACTTCGATGGAAAAGTTTTGTACGTAAGTAATTGCTGGTAAAACGTGTTGACTGAAATCTTAAAAAAACCTTTCGCCATGAGTAATTAATTATATAATTATGTATAATTATTGACGACGTTAAATTTATTATTACTCAACTAATTATTCGCTTAATGTTCGCGACCGCTACACGCTTGGAAGAGCTGTATTCATTTAAATATCTTACCATTTAAAATTAAGTAGAAAATGTAGTGTTATAAAAGTACAGTGGTCATGTAGTAAAACTTTTTCCGGCTCTCAATTTTATAACAGACTTTTTTAAACTAGTGCCGATGAGATCAATTTCATACGTCTAGTTTGATCGTTAATTTTATTGGCAGACACAATTTATTTATATTTTGTTAAAAAGGTTCCTATTCTCAACTTATCTCTATTTCAAACAATAATATTGGTTTAAAAAAAAGACACATTGTGTGTCTACAGCGTAGACTCCTATATTTTGTACTTTTAACAAAGTATAATTAACCAACCTCCTTTTTTAATTGAACATCTCTAATACGATAATTTTTAAATAACACTGTCAAAGACAAATTAAGTCATAAATACCATACTTTCATGCCTATGGGGTTTTCAAGCGCATCGATATACCAGCTTATGTTCACCGGAACTTATTTTACGCAACTTTATTAACTATAACTGATTATGGTGAGAACTGTTGCCCTTGTATTGTTAGAAGTTGTCTTCTAGTGGATACCGACATACCGATCATAGTTCTGTTCATAATCAAGCCATGTTATTTGAAGGGACCTTACCATGAGCTCTTTAACGCAATGCAATTGCGATGCTCATGCTTTATAAATGGGATGCAACGTTATTTTGAAAGCGAGGAATTGAACGCTGGAAAATAATCATATTTCTCTACAATTCCCACATTTTGATTTTTATAAGACAGAGGCAGATTATGACGTTTTGAATGGACCAATAAACGAATAATTTTTAACAAGCAAGATTACTTACTAACGATTATTAGAAAATTACTTGTGTCAACTTGGCTATAAAGTGACTCATAATTTATAGAGTTTAACATTAAAAACAAATTAACCATTAGAATAAATTGAATGTCGGTGAATTTAGAAATAACTGGACTGATTTTTTTAAATTTGCTTTTGATTCCAATGTTTACTTAGTTTATTCGAATTAAGTAGATATAGGTATTTATTTTTCACAATAATTTTCATATGAGTGATTTGCTGTATTGTCTTCTTAAAAAAAGAATTGAATTAAAACCAAAAAACCTTTGAACCAAATATTTTAACTTGAAAGAGTAATTGAATATCAGTCAGTTATTATTTACACTATTTACTATATTAACGGAATTATAAGGAAATATATTTTATCACTCGACTTCTTAAACTGAAAAATTATAGTAAGGGTTTTTAACATGATTCCTCGATGATCCAGACATTTATGCATCTAAACAATAAAATGTAAAAAGCAAACTCGCTTCAAAAATCGCTATTTAATCGTAGACTTACAGTAGGGCCCCATTACTTGTAAACACCAGAGTTAATAAAAAAATGGTCATTGTACTGAGACAATACTGTGATCAAAGTTACCAACGATTACGAGGTAATTAAGATTATAGATACACTCATGAGCACAGCTATTTAATGATTTGTACATGACAAGTTTTCCGGGTTTAAAAAGATTAAAAAAATATAGTTAATTTCGTACATGTTAGTTAGTAGTGTTACCAAGGTTTCCAAATTGTTATGCAAACAATTTTAAACAAACAAAACTCATTTGATAAATTGCAACTAGTAATTCCCATAAAATGACGCTTATATAATAACAAAAATACCTCAGATATGTTTTTTATACTGAGAGATCCTACATAAATATTTCAATTACAAAAAAGTGGGTTCTTTCAACAATTGGCAATTTAAATAAATTATTTAACCATTTTAGCATATAATTTAATCATACCTTAATTATAATTACTTGCGTATATATAATATACATGATACTTATAAGGATAAGACGGTTTAAAAATTAATTAAACCAATCTATATAATAAATTTTTATACCGTCTCAACCGTTAATGCATAAATATGTCGCAGCAGCCGCACTCGGAATAGCACTTAACGTAAAGATTTTTGCCTGAGTAATCAAATCATAGTAGAAAATAATTTAAAAAGTATAATCCATCAATACCGCATAATTTTGTAATATATACATGTCAGAAATTATATAGAAAAAGAACAGAACCTTGGCCCCTGTTCACCTGCCTGTGACACCGACTACCTAATTGCAAAATAAGTTTTCAGTAAACGCGCTCAATCGATGGAGTTTTGAAATGTTTTCAAACAAAAGAAATTATTGTAATTAAAATCATTGACAATGTAAATAAACCATGAAACATTTTAACTAAATATACATGACTAAATGCTTATACTAAACTGCTAATAAATGGATTTAAATATAATTTACTAAATGCGCGAAGAAACGTTAACTTAAAAAACATTGCATTTGCATTACACTGAACAAATATCACTTACACTGCCACAAAATATAACTCGTATTCTTTTAGTATTCTAATTAAATATTACTGAAATGAATTTAAACATAATTAACTAAATGCGCGAAGAAACATTAACCCATTAACATTGCATTTACATTGCACTGAAAATCACTTTCACTGTCACAAACTATAACTAGTATGTTGTAGTATTCTTATTAAATATTACTGACCTATACATGGTTGCTCCCTAGATGTTCACAACGGATGAGTCAAAATAGTTCAACACACGTTGTCTTATAAACCCAACTAGTTCCCGCGCAAAACAACAACACTACTCCAGTGGCGCCGCACCGACGCAGTACGACGAAATTAGGAAACTAAACTCACAGAAAACAGGCGACCGACTGAATGCACTACGGGTACTAAAATAACAATAAGATTAAGGCAAGAAGCTAATTGTAAAACAACTAGAAAAATGGCGGGGCACAGATAGAGTATTGGTTAAGGTTAAGCGCCCTATATGAAATGTAAATGACGGATATTTTTTACGTCGCTAAAAACGCACTGATACTAAATTTATTTTGGCATCAAACAGTCATATATGTTTACAGTGATAAAATTATAAACAATATTATGGAAGAAGACCTATACAGTGCCGAAATTTTCATTACATTATGAACAACAGTGCAGCTCTTACGTATCGAAACGCGATCAGGAATTAAAAAAGAAATACTTATGCTAAAACAATTTTAAGGCTCTTTTTAAATATATTTCAAGAACTATAAAAAGTATATATTTAAAGATTGTAAATATCTAAAGCTAATGCGGGTTTAATTAAATATAATCTTTAATTATGTAATTAATTGATTTTGAGTTAATAATCTGCATTAACTTTACATTTAAAGAACCTGTATAAAATATTTGTATAATTTTTTTGATGACAGAATTTATATAATCATCATTACCATCTCCAGCCTATTAATGCCCCCACTGCTGGAGCTCAGGCCTTCCCTATGCATGGAATCGAATAGAATAGGGAGAATGGGGTATAAACTATTGCAGATGCAGCCGGCACAAACGTCTTAACGTGACTTCCGAAGCACGGAGGAGTTAGAGATAATAAATTTTTGGTCACCTATCCTATGACCGGCCATTTCGAAAGTTGTTTAACAACCGTATCGCAAACTCTAGAGCTCAATTTTCATCTAAATCGAAAGTTTAAAATAATTCTTTCGGCTGTTTGATGTAAATACGCTCGCTAGTAACGAAAAGTAACAAGTACTTGAAAATTTCATTAGCCCTGTTGGGTCTCGAGGCGCTCAATGTTTAGATCATTTTTCATTGACATTTAAAATTAATAAAATATAGGTATAAATTAATTATCGAGATGTATAATCATTTGGTTGGACATCCCTCTTTGACAGTCGATTTACACCAAAATTAACTGGTATCCTGAATTAATTGACGTAAATTTATTATTTAATTACATAGAAGTTTAAAATGCAAACTTTAACATAGAAGTTTAAGAAACACATTTAAATTTTAAAATCTATCTCCGAAATGTCTTGGTCTAAAACATTGAATACAGAACTAGTAGTTCCGTCAAACGTTGTTTTGTCATATAAAGGAATGGACAGACAGGACACATAAATATATTTTGTTGGGTCGATCGCGCGGTTATGAAAACTAGATAACCTATTCTCAGACCTACTGTATATACTTACATATAAAATTTCATCAAAATAGGTCAAGCAACACGAGAATTTAATTTTTTATATTAAATAGAGTTTTTTACCTATTGGTTAAAGAAATACCCAAGAAGAAGATTTACTAATTAAATGAAGGTACCTACACACCAGCCCTTTTACGTCCCCACTGCAGAGGCTCAGGCCTTCCTTATGGATGGTTAAGGAGGATGGGCCATGACCCTCCACGCTGGCCCAATGCGGATTGGAGGGTATTAACGACTGCAAATGCAGCCTGGACCAACGGCTTAACGTGCCTTCCGAAGCACGAAGTAGCTCGAGATAATAATTTTTTGGTCACCCATCCCGTGACCGACCCTAGCGAAAGTTGCTTAACGACTACGATAGCGGGCCGCGGCGCTTATCCACTACGCCACCGAGCTACTCAAGTACCTAGTTACGACAAGGTACCTAGTTATGACAATTTAGTATTACGTACCTATGTATCTAATAGCTAAAAGCATGGCGATCGGTCGCCAGCTGTTGACAAAGTCTCTTTATTTCAACTTATTTCTAATTAAAAGTAATAAATAACTTAATCTTGTATTCATCTAGTAGATATTTAAGCTGGCTTAGGTACTTCACATTAGTAAAGCTTAAGAAGATTTGAGACCATAATGTCATCATAGTTTAATTAACATTTAATGGTAATATTTTGTTAGATTATAGGCGATTATTAGAAGTTAGATTATATAAAAAGATAAATATTAATAGCTTTCTACAGAGTTCCAAGTGATGATGATTTACCTTATAAGTGTTTACAAAAACAACTATGATCAAGACGGTAGTTTTAACTTGGGAACACGGTAGGTTTTTTATAGGTAAAGACCTATCTATAGGGCGCTTGTGCACTACACTGAATTTTCAGGTCCGGCGGTCCGATTTTTTCCGGTCCGGAATGACATGAAAAACCCGGATGAGTAGCTTGTGCACTTGTCCGTTTTTTTCCTGATCGGAGCGGCGCAGTGTAGGGCAGCTCTCTTTGAAGCTACACGTCACTTACGCTAGGTACGATGAGATTTTTGGAACGAAACGAAAGACGAAAGCATTTTTTTATTACTATCGGATGACTATTATCAGATGTAAAAACTTATACCCTTACTAATTTAGGGACAGCATTATTTACATACAATAGCTAAAAATATCTGTAACATTAGAATAAAATTACTGATAATGGTACTTGATGTTTAAAGGACAATGTTCAGCCCCCATACATTTTTCGCCTAAGAACCTCTAAGCATGTACTATCACTTTTCTTGTTCTAAAGTATATGTATTTACGTCTAAATACATGTTTAAGTAACGGACACTTCTAAGAAATGTATAAATCAAAAAATATATTTTGGATTTGAGGTTATAATTTTAACAATTTTAGCGCGCGGATCTTTTTAATGTTTGTTTTACTTGCTTTTTGTAGGGAAATGTATGTCTACTTTGCTTTAAATATAGCTAGGTTCTGTAGGTACTTACTTAGCTTGATTTAAAAACAGTTTCGGAGCTTAGATTTCAGGTTTGTGGTTACCGAGATTTCATAACAGACATTTAGTAAACTTCACTATCTTATTGCTTGCGAATTTAATCTACAAAAGTTTGCATGCCAGCAACATAGCTTTTTAGGGGGTGGATATTTTTTTTAAATCGGTTATAACCTAGTTTTAGTTTATGTACCTATCCATTACAAGCTGGCATAATATTGGTGTATTCTAGATATATGATAATTAATGACAGTTCCCTTTCTAGCGGAGTCTAGTGAAGTCGTAGTTTATTAATCTTTTGTTTATTCTTTATTATTACTTCTGTCATTAAATATTTATCTATTCTTATCAATTGTCTAAATAAATTTAGATAATGAAAAATTTCCAGGCAAACTTTCATCCCCTATTTTTCAGTTGTTTAGGCGTCTAAGCGTTACAACACTTATTTATCTTACCTTAAGTTATCGATACTTTTAATATGATTCTAAAATCTAGCTAAGTATCGATACTAGAACCATATGCTGATCAAATAAGAACTATACCGAGTTTGCCAAAGCATATGCAGTGATATTTACCAACTATATAAAATATAGCATTTTATAATCTAAAATAAATATCGACTATAAGTTTTTTGGAAATTAACTATTTCGCCGAAATAAATACAAGTCGATTATTTTTTCCCAAGCCTATTCTTTATGAATTTTCCGGATCGCGGACACAGCAGTGCACAAGCGTAAACACGTTTTTCATTGCCGCCATCACGGACCTGAAAAAACAGGTCCGGAATAGAGAAAAGTAAAATCCTGGACGGTAAAATTCCTGACAGTGCACAGGCTAACATTACATTAAATTCAGTGTAGTGCACAAGCGCCCTTACCTATGAAATTGCCGTTTTGCCGTACTGGCCATTTAAATTTTTTTTTGGCTTATAATTCTAATTTCCATGGACACCATAAATATTTTCAGCATTATTATTTCATTTCTTTAGGGATAACAGTATATATATATGCATTCTACTCCGAGATTAAAATTAAACCCAGTAATTGTAACCCAGTACCTATATTTTGAATTCAATCGACTTACTTACTGAAAATATCCAAACAAGTATTATGTTTTTAACACTTAGGTATGTACCGTTAATCAAATTAAGACATATTTCTAACTCTAACCACTGTTATCCATTGGAAATCAGCCATAGAACACTACTCGTAGTGAATTACCAATTCTAAAGATAGCGGACGAACATGCAATATATAAAACAATATGGAATATTAAAATCACCTATTCGTAAATTATGTTGCACAGACATTTCTTAAAAATAATCAAATAGAACAATGATTCTTAAACTAGGGGTAATCAACCTGAGGATAAATCAGTTAGGTATTAAAATTAAAATCAATTCTAAGGTTCATTATTATAGTAAATGTACATTATTGCGTGTTAGTACAGTATCCCGTGTCATTTATGTTTTTGTTGCATTATGTTTATGTTTTTCTTTATGTTGCAAAATAAGGAAATCGTCGGTTAATTTAAAATTTCATAAGATACCACTTCAATTATAGATACAACATCGATTATAGATACAATACAACATAATATAAATAACAGTACTTAAAACATACTTGTTAATTATAATAACCCGTGACGAGTTTCTGAATTATAATATTTCGGATATATTTATCACTAATATTCCCAATAAACAATAAATATAGCACGATCCGATCATACTGTAGTTTCATACGGTCTCGTAAGGTGCGTGTTCAATTTTGAGATGGTATTTGATATGATAATTTATTTCAATAAAACTTGTGAATAAAAACATTATTAACTGTGTATAAAATATTATTCTATATTTACATATAATAATATTTTTATAATAATAGAGTTATTTTGAAACATATGGAGTCCGAAGCCGTGTACCTAATTACGTGTGTACCTATATATTTCCTACATATTTGTACAAAATAAAGGAAAATGGATCCAAAATCTCAATTAATTTTATTCCTGCCAGATTTTAAGGTCATTGAGAAATAAGATTTAAACAAATTCGATTACCAGCGTGGGTTATTGTGCCGTTATTACGGTATTTGTTTTTTATTATTTCTTACAATTCAGTTTGAAATCAGGCTCGTCATAAAATTCTTGTTTATCAATAGACCCTTTGTGCGCGAGTCTACACACATTTGGTTGATTTTTTATAAAAAAAGAAATAGATTATTTATTCCCAAT